ATATAACCAAGAAAGAAAACTACAGGCCGATATCCTTGATGAATATAGACGCAAAAATCCTCAATAAAATATTAGCAAACAGAATACAACACTTCGCTCAGCCAGTGAGCGGCCGGTCTGTATGTGGGATCCGAACCCTCAGCGGGAGCGCCGCCACACTTCCCAAGCGGCGCACTACAGCAGTGCGCCACCGGGCCGGCCCCATACATTCATAATTTTACAATATTCTCCAATACCCCAATTTGACTAACATGTCAGTTATCTCAACTAAAAATCTACTTAATCTAAAATTGTTATTAATTAGGAGTCATGAGCATTTATTTTTACACACCAATTACACACTGGTAATATTAAAGTACTCATGCTGTAAACTAAAATGTTATTATATAACGATAAAGGGATCTATCCAGCAAGAGGATATAACATTGGAGCACCCAGATATAAAGCAAACACTATTAGACCTAACAAGAGAGATATACTCTAACACTGTAACAGTTTAGAACCTCAACACCCCTCTCTCAACATTGGACAGATCATCTAGGAAACAAATCAAAAGAGAAACACAGAGGGCCGGCCCAGTGGCGCACTGCTGTAGTGCGCCGCTTGGGAAGCGCGGCGGCGCTCCCGCCGAGGGTTCGGATCCCACATACAGACCGGTTCCCGCTCACTGGCTGAGCGAGGCGCGGGAGCAACACCGAGGGTTGCGATCCCGTTGCTGGTCCCGGTCCGGTACGGGGGCGACACTGAGGGTTGCGATCCGTTGCCGGACACGGAAAAAGACAAAAAGGAAAAAAAAAAAAAGAGAGAGAGAAACACAGAATTTAAACTACACTTTTAGAACAGCTGAACTTGGCAAACATCTACAGAACATTTCATCCAACAACTACAGAATTTACATTCTTCTCACACGCACTTGGAAAATTTCCCAGGAGAGAACACGTTAGCCCACAAATCAAGTCTCAACAAATTTTTAAAAAATGAAATAATTTCAAGTGTCTTTTCAGACCACAATGGATTACAACTAAAAATCAATAACAAGTGAAACTTTGGAAACTATACAAATAAATAGAAATTAAACAATGTGCTCCTGAATGGCCCATGGGTCAAAGAAGAAATTAAACAGAATTCCAAAAATTTCTTGAAACTAATGAAAATAAAGGCACATCATACCAAAACCTATGCAATACCACAAAAGCTATACTAAGAAGTAATTTTACTACAATAAATGCTTACATCGAAAGAACAGAAAGACTTCAAACAAACAACCTAAATTATACCTCAAAGAACTAGAAAAACAAGAACAATCCTTTCCCCAAATTGGTAGACAATAATAAATAATAAAGATCAGAGCAGCACTAAATGAAAGAGACCAAAAACATGACATAAAAGATCAATGAAACAAAGTTGGTTTTTTGAGAAGATAAACAAAGTGGACAAACCATTAGCCCAAGTAACTTAAAAAAAAAAAAAAAAGAGAGAGAGAAGACCCAAATAACAAACATCAGAAATGAAAAAGGAAATATTACACTGATAGCACAGAAATACAAAGAATGGTCAGAGACTATTATGAACAACTATATGGCAACAAATTTGAAAACCTGGAGGAAATGGATAAATTTCTGGATACTAAGACTGAACCAAGAAGAAATAGAAAGCCTGAACAAACCAATAATGAAAAACGAGATTGAAGCTGTAGTTAGCAGTCTCCCAACAAAGAAAAGCCCAGGACTAGATGGCTTCACTGTTGAATTCTACCAAACCTTTAAAGAAGAATTAATACCAATCCTTTTCAAACTATTCTCAAAAAATGAAACAGAGGCCATTCTCCCAAACTCATTCTGTGAGGCCAGCATCAGCCCTGATACCAAAATCAGACACCATAAATAAAGAAAACTCGATACTTGATGAAGACAGATGCAAAAATCCTCAACAAAATATTAGCAAACAGAATACAACAGCACACTAAAAAGATTATACATCATGATCAAGTGGGGCTCATCCCAGGGATGCAAGTATGGTTCAACACACACAAGTCAATAAATGTGATACACCACTTCAATGAAATCAACAAAAAAACCCTTATGATTATCTCAATAGATGCAGAAAAAGCATTTGACAAAATTCAGCATCCCTTTATGATAAAGATTCAACAAATTAGGTATAAGAGGAAAGTATCTCAACACAATAAAAGCCATATATGTCAAACCCACCACCAACATCATCCTGAATAAGGAAAAACTGAAAGCTTTTCCTTTGAGAGCAGGAACGAGACAAGGATGCCCACTCTCAACATGCCTATTCAATACAGTATTGAAACAATCAGGCAAGAGGAAGAAATAAAGGGCATCCATTTTGAAAAAAGATGAAGTCAAATTGTCCCTGCTCATAGATGACATGATCCTATATATAGAAAAACCTAAAAACTCCACCAAAAATATCCTAGAGCTGATAAATTCAGGAAAGTCACAGGATAGAAAATCAGTACACAGAAATTAGTAGTATTTCTGTACTCTAACAACAAACGAAAGAAAAATCAAGAAAGCAGGCCTGTTTACAATAGCTACCAAAAGAATAAAATATCTAGGAATAAACAAGGAGGTGAAAGATCTCTATAATGAGAACTACTAAACACTACTGAAAGAAATTAAAGACAACAGAAAAAGATGGAAAGACATTCCATGTTCATGGATTGGAAGAATTATGTTGTGAAAATGTCCATACTACTGAAAGCGATATTCATATTCAATGCAATCCCCTTCAAAATACCAATGACATTCTTCACAGAAAAAGACCAAAAAAAAAAAAAAATCCTAATATTCATATGGAACAAAAGATCCCAAATAGCCAAAGAAATCCTGAGCAAAAAAAATAAAGTTGGAGCCATTACATTACCTGACGTCAAATTATACTACAAAGCTATAGTAACCAAAACAGCATGTTACTGGCATAAAAACAAACACAAGGACCAACAGAACAAAATAGAGAACCCAGAAATCAATCCACGTACTAACAGCCAACCGATCTTCAACAAAGGTACCAAGGACATACATTAGATAAAGAACAGCCTCTTCAGCAAATGGTGCTGGGAAAACTGGATATCCATTTGTAGAAGAATGAAACCAGACCCATGCATCTCACCACATATCAAAATCAACTCAAAATGTATTAAAGACTTAAGTATAAGACCTGAAGCTAGAAAACTCTTCAAAGAAAACATATGGGAAATACTTCAGGTTGAAGGGCTGGGCAAAGACTTTATGAATAAGACCTCAAAAGCACAAGCACCAAAACAAAAAAATAAATAAATAAATAAATGGGATTCTATAAAACTAAAAACCTTCTGCACAGCAAAGGAAACAGAGTGAAAAGACAACCTACAGAATGGGAGAAAATACTTGCAAACTATGCATCAGACAAGTGATTAATATTCACAATATACAAGAAACTCAAACAATTTAATACTAAAAAGAAACTGATTAAAAAACGGGCAAGGGAGCTGAATAGCCATTTCTCAAAAGAAGAACTACAAATGGCCAACAAGTATACGAAAAAATGTTCAATATCACTAATCATCAGGGAAATGCAAATCAAAACCACCTTGACATATCATCTCCCTCCTGTTACACTGACTATTATCAAAAGACAGAGAATAGCAAATGCTGGCAAGGATGCAGAGAAAGGGGAATCCTTCTACACTGCTTGGGGATTATAAATTAGTGAAGCCATTGTGGAAAAGAGTATGGAGGTTGCTCAGACAACTACAGACAGAACTACCATACGATTCAGCAATCCTGTATAAACAAAGAAATGCAAATCACCACGTCGAATGGATACCTGCATGCCCATGTTTATTGCAGCTCTATTTACAATAGCCAAGATATGGAACCATCCTAAATGTCCATCGGCGGATGAGTGGATAAGGAAAATGTGGTACATATACACAATGGAATATTACTCAGCTATAAAAAAGAATGAAATCCTGCCATTCACAGTAGCATAGATGAGCTTGGACAAAATTATGTTAAGTGAAATAAGCCAGGCACAGAAAGAGAAATACCGCATGTTAGTGGGAGCTAAAATATAAATAAATGAATAAGAAAGAAGGAAAGAAAGAAATGAAGGAAAAAAGGAAGAAAGGAAGGAGGGATGAACAATAACAATAACACATTCAACTTTCAGAAGGAGAGATCAAATCTGTGTTTACTAGAGCTGGGAAAGGATAGGGAGAGGGAATCCATGTTTACTAGAGCTGGGAAAGGATAGCAAGAAATTGGTTAATGGACACAAAAAATGATCATGTTTTGTAATGATGTCTATGCTAATTATCCTGATTTGATCATCACATATTGTACACAGGTATTGATATTCAACTCTGTACCCCACAAATATGTATAATCAGTTATGTTTCAATAAGAAAAATAGTTTTTTTAAAAAAGAAAATT